ACACGGACCCTTGCGCCCCGAAGGAATTCTAGACGCAACGAAGAAAATTTACTACCAGTCCGCAGATGTCTATAACAGCCGATGGTTAAAAGCTGAAAATGAAGCTCTCGGGGTTGATCCATCCCGCTGAGCGTTATGCACTCAACTTCATTAAGCATCGTTGAAAGTGATAGAATATAGAGAACTTCTCTCTTGAAAAGTTCTCTATCTATCTAAATAATAGTATTTGAGGTCCAAATATGGCCGCTTCGCAGTCGCACATCAAACACTGCAATGTAACCTTTGTAATCTTCTCGATCAATTATGTTCAGTGTTTCAGGCACAATAGCGATTCAGGTTTGACTTCAGTAGCATACCGACGATAGCTTATCCGAAGGAGGAGTAACCATGGAACAGTTTACTGCTTCCTTGCGAAACAAGGGAGCTAATGACGTTAGATCTTTCAGGCAGTTAGGTACAGTCTTTTGCGGTCCAGGATCAACAATCCAGATTAACCGCAGTTGCATACGCACCCGGTTCCCGCAGCCGATATAAGCCAGGTGCCTTCGACGGTGCCCATCACTCTCCTTACCCCCGATCAGTAGCGCGGATAATCCGCTTCTCACAACATCATCCTCAATCATCCTCAATCACCTCAGCTCATTCTTAGCCATACTCATTCATTCTTATTCAATCACATTCATTCACACATTCACATTCATCCTTCAGCAATCAGCAGATTATTATATCTCGTTTCTCAGCTTGTCTACGGTGCAATGTCAGTAGTGGCGGGTGTTTCCAAATGCGTCCTGTTTGCAACGCCATCGGTGGCATGTACCATTCCCCCCACAATGTACGCAATGCGTACAATGCCGCTAAGCGGCCAACTTATGCTATGTATTCTGCTAAGCCGCTATAGGCTTATCAGTTTTGTAGCATTCATCATACTGGCCCTTACCCTTAGGCAATGTTGGCACCCATCGATACTCAGAGTTCACGTTGCTGACATTATTCACGACTAGCCGCCTGATTGCGTTCCGTAGATGACTCATCATTCACTGTCCATAGCACCGTCAACGCTCATGTAACTTACAGTCCTCATCGATCCACTAAAATGCTCCTCATCGCTATAATGTTGAAATGAAATCTTAGCTTGGCCGAAACACGGCCAGCCTGTAACCCTCACCACCTCACCATATTGTCTCCCTCTCCGCGGCATACAGTCTCCTCCCTCCGCCCCCAGCATACTGCCTCCTTCGGCCGCCGCACCGGCCGCCGATAGACGCGGTGCGGCGCGGCATCGCTTATGGCTAACCGAAGGCGACTTCGTTGTAATCGCATTATTATTGTTAATATTGTATTAATGGTATAATAATGTTTGAATGCCATTGCCTCATTGTTAGCCTTACTCTACAGGCCTTAGCACCTCAGAGTTCTAACTTGTGTCATTCCTCTACCATTACTTCTCTATCGTTATTATTATGTAATTAGTGTTGTATTTATGTATTACAGGTTTAATTACCCAAGTTTGAGGTTGGTAGATCAATTACAGCAACTAATAGACCCGCGTGGCTAATATTCCACATCAATCTGAACCGCTACACTCCGCCGCTAGCCATTTCGTTACATAGAATGCATATCTGGCCTTTAGAATGACTCGCAGCGGCCTACCGATGTATCGGGACAGTGCTGCTATCCTCCCATAGATACCAATTTGCCGACTCCGGAGAGATGGAGGGCTTGTTGGGCCTGACACACGCGGATCGATGCCGTCTGTATTGCAGGGCCATTCCAACCATTGCGCTACACGCATCCCAGTGGTTGCGACATGATAATGTACCAGCACATTAATCTCAGACTTCCTGAAAAATAACGTTGGATCAGTATATAACCGACGAGAAAAGTTCAGTGATCCTTAACTGGCAGTTAAATCCGAGCCCGTCAATCATCTCTATGGATGAAGGTTGAAGATCGATGAAAAATGAATGGAACAAGTGCTTGGGCTTGCGTGATATGCGAAGAAGTCCACTTACATATCTAAACAGATACTCACTGGATTCGATAATTTGTGTTGAACATCCATGATACCGAATGCTTTGCGAAGGATGTGTGCTCGCTGCAATAAATGCAACATCATTGTGAAGAGGTAATGAGGAAGACGGGAATAGATCAAAGAATGAGAGAGACAGCTGGAAGAACGGATTAAATACGGCCTTTCGATAGCAGAACTCACTAACTCAGACCGAAAGAATGAATGTAGTTAGGGAAAATGCTTTTGAAGAAACAAGTCAGTGATAAAGAATAGTGCGTATGAGGTACCAAATCAGCGCTTTTACTATCACATGTCTAGTAGCGACTCGCCAAAGGCTTGGTTTGCGAGCGACACAATGTTGAACCCCTAACCCGAGTAGTGTAGTGCGTCGATAGTCTTTCCGTAACACTACACTTCATCAAGTCTCATCTAACAAAATTTGAAAATCTACGAGATGTGATAATAAATCGGGATCGGTGTCAAGCAATGTTCTAAGGTGTGCTTCATATTAAAAGAAACGGCATGTTGGCAACGCTACAACGCCTCCTATTACGGTGTTCGGAAATAAATGAGCGTTTTATACCATGTTATTTATTACCGAGCAACATTTTTTGGTGCAATTCCAGCTTTGCGAAGTGCTGTGGAGCCTCGTCGCAATTCAACCATTGAGCTGAACGACGCCGGTTCTCGTACAGAATCATTCGGATGCCCGCGGCCTGCGTTGTCTTCGAGGTCGAAATCGCCAGATCGAAACTTCCGGAATCACGCTCCCACTGTTGATTCACCAACATTGCTTTCACCTCAAACTTTATCAGTGTTTCGAGCCATCTCTGCTGCACTACGGCCGAGTCTGAACTCATAAAGGAAAATTTGACGAAAAATCGTTTTTGACATCAAAAATTTCAAAGCTGAAAATTGGTGAAAAAATTTGACTCCCGACAAAATATGAAAAAAAATAATTGGAAAAAGCATGAAATCATCTTTTTAATGACGTATAACATTACAAGGTATAGAAGGTATTTTATGGATAAAAGCACATCAAAACAATAAGTGTTCTAAGCGCTCATTTATTTCTCAAAAAGCTGATGCACTTAGGTTTCTTCACGAGCCTATTGTCAAACGTGTCGTTAATACGCAGGTGACTTAAGGTGGAATCAGTTGTCACCGTTGCATTCCAGAATTGCCCAATTACTTTTCGCTACTCAAACGCAAAAGGAGCGTCGTTTCTTTCTTTTATGACATTCGTAAGAAAGGCTGAGCGTCGAGAACGATGATTTTCCTATTGTGCGTCCGTCTAATATTCTCATGGGACGAAGTCGCCGACGGTTACTGTCTAGCGGTTGTCCCTGGGAAGCAACACATGCTCAAGCATTTTGATCCAAGGAAACTTCATAGCAGTCAACCACCGATTTGATTTCAACCCTCGAATTCTCTTCAAACCTCACACACAGCGGACCGCTAGTGTAAGAAACTGGCCCTGAAAAGGCGGGTTCTGATCCACATTGAGTTCTGATTTTGCACATATCCTAGTATTATCGTGGTTGTTTTTCATGCAATACCCTGTGAGAAAAACAGTGAGCAGTAAAAAGAAAGTTAAACAATGCAATAAATGATTGGTAAACGAAGAAAGGATACATAAGAATGAATAATAGCTTCTTTTGATGGTACGCGCACGTTGATAGACAGACACTGCACTGAACGGTAGGAGCGAGAAAGAGGAAACAACACGAAGCCTGTAAGAAGACAGTGACGCATTTTAGACGTTGACTTCCTGAGAGCTCTCGAATTAAGTGCAGCATCGGAATACTGTCGGGTATCTTGCTGCTTCACATAAACTTGCAGATTGCTTAATGACAGCAGAGTGATTTCATACGCTAGCATAAAGAGCGGTGGCGTCGAAGGATCCGTCACGGACGCGCTTTTGGAGTCACCTGACGGTGAAGATCCAAGAACATTCGGATGTTCACGGGATGGGCTTGGATCATCTCACGTTAGGAAAGTGGTCGTCTGAGTAGGCTGCATGTCTACTTGACCTCTGTGGCCTCCAAAAAAGGCGAAAACCCGGAAATGTCAGCTACTATTGAATAAATTTTGTTATAGAGAACCTCAGACAGCAAATGACGTAGTGGTAGTGATGCCACCCGTCACCAGTACGGTGCTGGTTCAACCCCGCGTAAACGCGCCAAGCTTCCCATCCTTCCAGGACGAAGAAAATGGTGCGAGACTTGTCTGGGGACGGCTCGTTATATGCAGCACAACTGGTACCTCTCTAACTGGCTCCCTAAAGATTCCAAGAAGAATGGAGTTGGGCAGAAATAAACGACAGTCACAACGAAAGGAAAGTGCTAAGGAGCAGCCGAAGCTGCACGCAAAATGTTGGAAAACCATCGCTGATGACTAAAGCGAGAAAATCCATCGGATTATACATGTTCAGGTTTCACACAGTGTTTGTAAAAGAATGGGGTTGAAAAAAACATTGAAATAATTTGGCTACCTAGTGTCTGCTCAAGAAGAAAATACCGATTTATTGAATGTAAATGATTGGTAAATCACTGTTTATTGGAACACATATTTAGTCCTGATTAATGGATTGGTGGATATTATCTCTTCTAGAGCTCAGTGAGATTTTGTAGACATATAGCTAAGTAAAATCAGTTAAGTATTGCCTGGCAGCTGCTCGCTAATCCCCAAGCATAGAAGAAATCGATGCGGCAATAACAACACAGGCTGCTCTAGTCAACTCATAATTTATGTGCACTTTAGATATACACCAACAACAAAGAAACATTATCTCGGAATGATTCTTATGCTGCATTATCAGTGGATCGGATAGCTGTCATTAAACAGATACGTGGAAGTACAACTCATTTTTCAGCAGTGTTAGTCACCGAATAGTTGGCAGAACTCGGTGGGTGAGAACAAAAGTAAGATTAGAGAAGGTAATATTGCCAATTTTTGATCAAATTTTAGATTTGCAATAAAACTGTAAATGGGCGACCTATACGAGCAACTAGGGCCGCCTGGTGATGAACCACCTCCACCACCTGGTCCCCCAGCAGCGCCGCCGCCACCACCGCCGCTACCACCACCGCCACCATCACAACAGCCTGAAGCTCAACAGCCTTCTAGTACGCTACCGCCAGGTGACATTCAGAGCTCTCCCAGCAAGCAAGGTCAGAAAATGTCCGGAGGAGAAGGGAGTAAAACAAGGTTAGATGTGTAAGTTACGGCAATTTTAACAAATCGCTAGAAAAGTTATGAAACTATACGTATATATATACATATATATATATATATGTATACATATGTGAATGTATATATATACATATGTGCATATATACATATATATATATGTTATATATATATAGATATAGATATATATATATATATATGACAACTCACTCGCACTGGAGCTTGGCCGCTGATCAATCTTTCGTAGATGGCATGCGTTCTACTCCATCGGAAGCTTGAAAGGAGTGAGTGCATATATGGGCAATGAAATAACATGCGGTGGCATACCGAAGTAGAAAGCCGTTGTTTTCATGCTCCCGTTTTACAACTATTAGCAAAGTCCGGATGGATGAATGGCAGCCCGCGTTCAGTGGTCGCGCTCTCGAGCCATCAGTATGTACTGAGTGACGCCTCTGGCTACTGCATCGTCTTACCACAAATATATTGATAACCTTTTACACCATTTTCGACTTGATTCCGGCATCATCCACGAACGTTTTCGAACTATTGGGTTCAGGTTTAGTTTTCCTCTTTATATAAAACATATGAATATACGACCGCTGCATTAAATTGCTTTAAGATATTGCAGAATAGAAAAGGCAAAAGAACAGGCAAAAACGAAGAAGGATGCACAAGATGATAAGTCAGACTCCACATCTCCGCCGACGAAAGCTGCAGCACGTGCATCTCATGTAATTCTTTACAGTTGTTCCTACCAATTACGTCAAAGGTGGTATCATTATTTCCATTAGTAGTGGCCGCATGAACTGGTATCAATGTAAAAATGAGTGTGTGTGTGTGTAAGAGGGATACGAACAAGTGATAAGTGCAATGATAATCGTTCCAATCCAAGTGGAATATCTAGAGGGCGGAACAGTTACTAGGAGATAAGTAAGTGATTTATCTGTGTACGAGGATCTACCTGCGTTGACGCAGCTAGGAGAACAAGCGTTATTTATTTTAGCGTAATCTATTTCTGGGCGTTAATGCTGAACACACAAAATTTTCCTAATATACTTTTTGTGCTCATGAGATCTTCACCCACACATCCGGTAGGCCATGAAGTTGTGTACTTGCTACCACATAAATTATAGGCTGCAATTTATTCAGTTTTTTCATGGACGAGTTTGTGAGTCCCATAATGACGACTTTTGTTGGCGAATAAAGCATGAATGTGCCTCTGCTGGCAAGAGTATTTCTCTACTGAACAGATACAAATAGAAGTGTGCCAAACTCAGTCTTCCTGCTTTGCGTGGGTGTTTGCTCAGAGGCAGCACAGATACTGCTGTTAAAAGGGCGCTTGACTATTTGCAAGAGAAGCAATGCACTGCGAAGCATATGCATTAATTTCAGTGCGTGGTAAGTTCGGGACGAGAAAATAACCTCGGTGCCGTGAAACTGTTTACCAAAAATATGGGCGGATCCTGTTATGTTAAAAACGTTTCTACAGTAATTCTTTTTTCAAACATCTGTGCATTGGATTTTCGTCCTTTACAATCATGATGATCTTATCCGAGACAAATTTCAGAATCTCTTGGTGTGCACCAGTGTTCTAATTTTCGTCGCCATCGTGCTCGCCGTAATATGCACCATCGTCGTGCTTCATCTGATCAATTTTATTCAGTGGTTTCCGCTCCTCAGCAATCTGTTATGAACCACTTTTAATAAAGTAGCTTATAGTTGATTTCGTACTACACAAAGTAGTGTCCAGTAGCATTTATGATATTTTCACACCTTTTCAACGTGCACGTGTTTGCATTATGACGTCCGGTCGAAAGGTAGATATTTCTGAAATGCCCAAAAAAGATTTTTCCTGTTGGGTGCTTGTCCCAAAAGTCGTCGTGGAAAGAGGAACAAGATACGATAAAATGACAACAATGTGTAGGATTGGATTGAATCCAAATTTAATGAGCTGCTAATGATGATAAGAAAACTGTGTGAGACGGTCGACCAGTCAAGTGAAGCGTGGTACCCTTCGAGGATTTTTGTTTCCAACAGAGAAACTTCTACCCAGTGCACAGTGGTTGTCGATGCCTTCTGGAAATTAGGAGTAATCTAGCACACTTCCTTTAAAACTCTAATACGAACCGTATTCCAGTGTTATTTAACAAGCTGAAGGAGACAGGCCAACATAGTTCGTTAATTCTCAGACAAAACACAAATGAGTTCACCATCTCATAGAGATAGAACGGGGACCTAGGGTACAAATGCTTCGGAAAAATCTATTGAATAGTTTTCGAAGTATGTATATGAACCCATATATTGATGCCTTCTCTTCCTGTGGCCTACTGATTTTGCTTCATGGACCACATCCGAGCCATATCACGGGTCTGACATTTTGCGTTGTTACTTGTAGTTGCGCAGTTATCACAGTCATAGTTGCGCAAAACTCTTCAGGCGTTTTGGATAAATTTCAAAAATCCGAATATGAACCGGAAAGACGAATTCCTCACTTGCACTCGACCTCACGTGAACAACGCGTGGCCCAGTCCCACTCGTAACATCACGGTGGGTAACCTTTCTGTTCAACATGGCGTCTATACAAAAGTTTGATCTTCATTAATACTTTAACCTTTTTCCACCAAATAATAAAACATTCTAATATAAAATACGTCCAATCTCTGAGGAATTAAGGAAGGAAGCTCTGGTAATTACATGATCAACAACTTCTCGAAAAAACCCACCGCTTTTTTCGTCTTCTCTACGCAGGAGGAGATGGACAAATGCTTTGAATTATTGAACGAGCAGTCCGAGTACATAAAGTTCACCCGGTAGAAACCGAGAAAAAACTGGCTTCCGTGTTTGGACGTTCAAATAAACCTATCAGGCAGCGGCTACCTGACAAAGTGGCATCGAAAGCCAAGTAACAAGAACACACTTGTTCATTTCCTTTCTTCCCACCCTTCACACACAAAGAGGGCCAGCCACCTTTGTGTGCACTACCAAGGAACTAAAGGAAGAGTCGCTCGACTTGGCTCGGCAAATAGCCATCTCCAATGGCTACGAAACAGTAACCCCACGAGATAAGTTTACAAGGAGAACGACGGGCCCACGCGAAACACTTGGCTGAAAGAAAGTCCCGCTTATGTTGCCTTTTATAAGCGATGAAGTAAGCGTAGCTATAAAACGATGCTAAAGAAGGGCTGGTCTAGAGGAATCGGTATCGATAGTTGAAATACCACCGGCTACTCTACGTCGTCAATTACTTTGTAACCGCCTGTATGACCGTCTGTGTGAAACAACAAATTGCGTAATTTACCCTTACGGCAGGGACGGTGATTGCATGAGTTC